CAGAATTTAAAAATTCTAGTCTTTGTTTTCAGAGGAAAAAGATCACAAAAACGTACAAACTAATTTTTATTATTATTATTTCAACCTTTCAGACTTCGGTAAAAGTAGCTTGTGCACTGCAGCCAGTAAGAAAGAAATATTTTTCATAGAAGTTGACTGCAGTGCACTGGAGCTGATGACCAAACTCATTAGCTTAACTAGGTTCAAAGTTTCACTTAGTCTTTTCATAGTAACCCAGTTACTTGGCTTTAATTTTACAGTCAAAATAGTAATGTTGCAGCAAACGTTAAGATAACCTTGGTGAAAAACATATCAAGAGAGGGATAAATATTTAACCAGTTATTTTATCATAAGTTTATCAGTAAGCGTTTGTGATTTAATTTTTTTTTAATTAGATCTTCCCCAAAAAATTTATTGATCCTCCGATTTTTTTGTTTGAGACATTTCTGAAATTTGAGCTTAATGATAAGCAGATGATTCACAATTGAAGGATTCATGAACAGGAACAGAATATGTGGTAAAGTACAGCAGCCGCTTTAATTCTGGGTATCTTTCAAGGTCTGTACATCTACTCGCATGGATGCCACATTTCATTCATCTGGACAATCTTGCCCATCTACCACTCTCAAACATGAGCATGTATGTCTGCTTTGCATGATCCGCTACACAATTGATGTCTGATGCAAATATTAACAGTCAGAGCTCTGCAGCAAAGTTCCCAGAGTGAGCATAGGAGGGAAAGGCACTAAGATCGCTTCTTTTCAATTTTTGAGGAGTACAAGTATGCATTTCCTGAGATAAGAGGGCCAGAGGTCTTCTGTTTATTTTTGTCGCTGTCAAAAAGGTGTTTTCATTTACTCGAAACATAACAGCTCTCGTGTATCTTACAGTAAAACACCAGCAGAGAAAAGGCACCTGTAATTTTTACATGAGTTTGTTGAGTGATCTCACTGGTACTCCTTTATTTTATGCTTGCTGAATTTGTCTTGCAGTAAAGCTTTAGTGCCATCTCACTGCTAGTACTTTAGAGCTGCTTAGCTAAAACACATCAATAACCAGCAACAAAAACCCACTTATTTTAGTAGTCAGGTTAAGGAGCTGGGGTGGAACAATTTGCAGCGACATCAAAATCTCTCTTCTGTCTCTTTCTTTCAGAAAGTACCTCTGAGCCTGATTCACGAAGAACGTATACTCTGCAGAATTACTTGAACAATGACTATAAGTACAGAACATATAATTTGCAGTGGATTTCAGGTAATTAATTTCTACATACAGCATAAATGTCAAAAAAATGTACTACCTTCATTAAACACATATCTTGGGGTGACTACTGTATCCTGAAAAAAAAAGTTAAATTATTTAATGGTGCTGTTGTAGAAAGGTGTGTAGCTCAAAGAATTGTGATTTTTTTTCCCCCCCCCCCCCTTAGATACATGTTCACATTCATGGCAACCTATATTCTCCTACTGCTAAAAGCGCATACTTACTTCTATGGTTTTTTTGTAGAAGCATGTTATACTCTGAAGTGTGTCAACTTCCTGTGCATCAGGCTGTCGGGGAACAGGAGGATACAGGGCACTTCTTTTAAATATGCCTAGTGCCCCAAGGGAAAGAAATGTCAGAAGGCAGAGGCTGTGAGCCCCAGGACTGCATTTTGTGAACGTTCTTGTGCTATAAGCATCCTTTCATTACAGAAGTGGGAAACACAACATTGACCAGATTTTTGATTTTTATTTTCTGCTGAAAAACAAGGGGAAAAGAGAAGTAACTCGTGAGCATTTTACTTGTTTATTAGCAGCTCTCTTGTTCTTCTAGGAAATCAGTATCTTCACAAAACAGCTAATGGAGACATCCTATGTATCAGTGCTGACACCGGAACATCCTCAGTACTCTTGGCGAATACAACATTAGTACGTTGACTTATATATAATATATGCAGATGTTGAGAAAGGTACTGAATTTAATATTTTGTTCTGTGCGTTTCTTTGGAATAAGTGCTTAATGTGTTCCTTTTGCCCTTTCTTGGCAGGATAAATACAAGGCAACCACAGTTATATTGTCTCCAGACCAAAGGTTTGCTCTTCTGCAGTACAGCTATACAAAGGTACAAGTGCACTTTACTTCTCTGAGGATGAAACTGGGAAATAAAGGTTTGGGAACAGCTAGGTGAGAGGGTGGTCTTGAAAGTAGGGACGGCAGAGGCTGAGAGAGTGTGAGGGAAATGCAGGCAGATGGATGAATGAGATGGATGTCTGCAGGGGAACAGTGAAGTTGAGCAGATAGGAGAAGAAAGACTGGTATTGTCTGTGAGCTTGGCAGAAGAGATATGACTGCTTGAGAGAAGACACTGGATAAAAAGTGGATGGAGAGATATCACAAGGAGAGTGAGGCTGGATGGTTCATCTGGGGAGACAAGCTAGAAGAATAGATAGGCATGACTGTGCAAGGAGTTGTGTGGGTAAGGAGAAGTGGTGAGTAGATACGCTTGTATACATATGCTTGTACATGTATGCTATGTATATATATGGTTGTTACGTTGTGGTGTTAGGACATCAGAATTTTAAACTGAGGTGAATGAAAAGCAGCATGTGCTTATAAGAGAAGGCTGTCCTCTTGCGCTTGGAGTGTCCTCGTTCCCTACTGTCGGCAAGCACGTGAAAAACCTCCAGCATAACGCCTCGTCCTGGCTTGGTGCTGAACCATGCAACAAAGGACAATCTATGTTTATGCCAGCTGGCTTGAAAACCTGGCTGTGTGTTCCACTTGAGGACAGTTACAGAAACCTAATGGAGGCAATAATTTGCCCCACAGTGTGTGCACTGAGAAGCCAGTAACTTTGCTGTTGTTTCCTTTTTTTTTTTCTGGAGAGCTGCCTGTTTTGTTTGTAAAAAGCTCAGTGCTGACTTGTGCAGTGTACAAATACTCCAGCACTATGTCACCGTGTACGTGTTATGGCTTTGCAGTCCAAGAATGCCTCTCACACTGCGCCAGCCACAATCCATGCACTCAGTCATCGCTTTTTTTGCAGTTTTAGCTTCCTTGCTGAGTACTGCTAAGCCAGTTACCTTTTGTCTTTCTGAATTGTTCAGAACTGTTTGACTTTTCACTGCATTAGTGGCCGCAAAATGCCTTCTATTTTTCCAGCCACCCTAGACATCCCCTCTGCTCATGATTTATTGCTCGATAGTATTGTATTTGTTGCACTCATAAGAGTGAATTTTATTTTAATGCTGAAGCAAGATCTTTTAACCTTTATATAATAGTGTGATTGAAAGTTATGTTATTATTAATCTTTATTGCAAGAAAACAGAGTAACAAAATGAATCATGAGGATGTAGACGCTTATTATGTAATAGCCATCTGGTTGTGTAGTACTAAGTTATTGTTTTATATCTTCATACAAATCTTCAAGAACCATCATAGAAGGTAGCATTATTGTAGCATGTCAACACCATGGGCTAAATCAAACCTCTTCAGCCCCACATAGTGAACACATTTAAATTATCATCATCATCTTTCTCTCTGTAAGTGTCCACAGAGTGATACAGACTTCAAGAGGCAGGTTTCTGAGAGAAAGGGTTTATTTCTGTGACAATATGAATGGGAATAGGTCACCCTGGAACTGGAGGAACTGCTACAGAAATACTGCTGGGACTTGTGAGGACTACTAAACAATAAGATGCCAAGTTAAATAATACAGCATGGAAAATGAGACAGAAAACAGCAAGTGTGCCAGTAAGGCAGAAGGAGGAGGATTAACTGTGCATAGCTATGGTAGTCTGCCATGTAGCTACAAGGATTTCTGAAAATCTGCAGCATCTCTGGCCTCTGTATCTCTGTCCTTAATCAGTCAGTGGCCTTCATCATAGTATCTAAGTGATGACCCCAGAGGGGTGGCAATTATTTAGTCTGTTCTTTGTTACCCTTGTACGTTCATTGTGTTCTGTCTTAAGCAAAAGCATGAGGAGGGTTTCAGAGATAATTCAAACTGTAAGAGACGTGAATCCTGGTGAAATTCACGTTCTTAATATTAAAATAATTCTTTTGCAGTTGTGGAGGCATTCCTATACAGCTTCATATTACATCTATGATTTCAGTAGCAGGTCAGTAATTTTTGCACACAAGACGTAGTTTTAACATTATTTTGCAATGAAATGACATTTCACTGATTTCTCTTAGCTGCATTTTGTTTTTGTTTTTCCAGTTCTATCTTAGATGACAGACTACTGCCTACTGATATACAACATATATCCTGGTCACCTGTTGGTCACAAACTGGTTAGTAAAGATAAGTGAAACTCATATAAATAGTTGGTTTTGTACATGACATGACATAGAAGCTCAAATTGTATGTACCCTTGAGGTTTTGGGACTTCCCTGCTGCTAGTTAAAGTAGCTAAACTGGTTTCCAAATTGACTACTGTTGCTGGAAAGACTTCAAAATCCCTCTGTGTGTTTTGTTTTGTTCTTCAATGAAAGGGCATTC